TTCAAATGTCAACATTGGCTACCAGAAATCGCTTACCCCACCTTTGAAGTTGCAATTGCGAGATATAGTCACTTCGAGAAATATGGTCACATATTTTGGGACATAAAGCTGCAATTTCGAGATATAATCACTTTGTGAGACCTAACACCTCAATTCTTAGAGATGAAAAATCGCAATTTTGAGATATAAAGACACTATTCCAAGATATAGTCATACTTTGAGACATAAAGTTGCAAATTTTGAGAAATAAAGCTGCAGTTGTGAGTACCCAGCAAACATTGGTCCGACGGCAACGTCATGTCCCTGGCCAAAAATAGTCGCGGTAGGACGGCATAAATCGGTAAAAATATGTAACACAGAACATTTCCTAAAAATGCATTCAGATACGTTTGTGCATCTCTACAGTTGAACTTTGCCCTTTGCAGACTCATGCCAAGCCACAATGAACCTATGGAGGCCATGACGTCATTCTGAAGTTAGAACATGCAGAAAAAAAAGAAAAAAGAAAGCAAGACTGTGGAATAATTATATAAAAGAGGGAGTGAATCAGGAAATAGCTCTCGGTTTGGGAAACACAGAGCGAGAGGGAGCTTTGCCACAATTTAAATCAAAACAGGGTTTGAGAAAAAGCAGGGAGGAATGGAAAGGTGAAAGAACAGCGGCAGGGTAAGCAGTCGACTTCGATTGGAATCGGTTTTGTTTTTTGGTTTCTCCTCATTGCGCCCCCCGTCCCGTGCCTCCTCTCGCTCTCACGCTGCCGTGCCTTGCGCTCTCGCTTTACACATTTTTAATGGGTGTCTTCCCAATCAGGCTTTTACTGCAGGAAATTTCAGTGCACCACATTGCGTGAGGCGACGAGGAGCTCCATTCTTGGCTGGGCTCAGCACCGTGCCAGGCTGCCTCGCGCTCGGTGAGGGGGATGGGGTTGTGGTGTGGGTCCCGTGCCAACATTACAGCTCTGCAGTTTTTTTTCCTTCTCTGACAATAGCGAGTTCGACCAAGCCACTGAGAAAACCAAAATGGCAGGGGCGAGCAGACACTTTTCTGGGCTCTCCAGTGTAAAGTCACTTTTATTTGCGCCGTTGCTCTCCAGGTTTTTGAGGTTTTACAGCGTCTTCAGCTGTGTCAGTGTGAGCGAGGCAGCTTTTTTCTTCCTTTCGCTCGTTTCCGCCCTCTTCCTTTCACTCCCTCTTCTTATATCTCATAGTTTGTTTTGTCAGATTTCCAGCACTCTATGTGAGGCCTTTCTTTTCACCCTTCTCTATCCCATCAGCCCCCTCGCTTTTCTTTTTTTTTTTGCTGCTTTTTTTCCCTCCATTCCACTCCCAAAACAGTGCTGTGGTCGAGCAGCGGTTGAATAGGAATAATATTTGCTGTACTTTGCTGCCTTCCTGGTCCTATTCTCCTCTAAGAACGAGCCTTATTTTTAGATGCATGCAGGGTTTGGTCATTTCCTGCGGCTGGTGTCGTGTGACGTTTGCAGTTTGGGACTTTTAAAGGAGGTGTTCACAGTTATGGTGCTTGTCCAAATGATATGAGCTGTGACCAGCGGTTCATTTAGGCTTAGAACAGTAGTTGATGGGTAAGGCAAAGCTAGATCTGTGTTTAAGACTATTGTTCGTGTCTGGAGTTCGTGTTTGCAGGCAGATCTGGATGTAATACGGAGTGAAAAGTATTAATCACCATTACCAGGAAAATATCCACCCATAACTCCAGAGAAGAACATAGAGGAAGAGGGGAACAACACTTTTCCACTGATGTCTATCAGATCTGTGGAAAGTAGATACGACAGTACATCGCATTAAATCTTTTTTTAATTATTTAATTCAGAGTTACGACAAGTTGTGTGAAATTTCTTTATGCTGCATGAAAAAAGAAAGTCACAAGTCACAAAACAATATGTTGGAGAAGCCGCTAGACCACAGCTCCAAAACTAATGAATGCAATTGCAATTTTTAAAACAGACATGAAGAAGAAAACAAAACATTTCAATAAGCTCATGAATGCATTTGCTGGTATGATCACAGCGCAGAGTCTAATTTAATCTGTAGTGTTTAAATCCAGGACCAGGACTCTCTAAACAGCTTTATCCCCTCCGGGGGAGCTGAGATGGTGCAGTCCTGGACCCCCTTTAGCGCACTGGGAGATTTAAGAGCAGGATGAAAGGAACCTGGGCCCCTCAGCGGTCACCACTCTCTGATTCATCTTTCTGGGAAAGAGCAGAGGGAGAGAAAACCACAGAAGGCTCCCTCCTTCTTTAGAGCTACAATTTCACTGACAGGCCAATCAAGACAGCATAGAGAGATAGACTGAGGTCGAAACATACCCAACGCGAGTTTGTGAGCAAAAACACTTCTGGCTAATTTTGATTTTGTGCGTAGTTGTGTTTAGAAATGTGTCAGACCACAATTCATAATGCAGCACATGTGTACCTTGCATTCTCAGTGTTGCCACAAGGGGTGCTATAACGGGCATTATTGTAGACAGATTTCTCTTTTAGGTCAACAACTATCATCATGGCAACAGTTTGCAGAGGATGCGATGAATGTGCACATTCGAGTCCTCCTGGGAAGTTGGAATTTATGAGTTGGAAGTCGTAATTAACACATCAGGGGCCTATTTCACATACGATTGGATTTCCTTGCCTACTGAGGATGAGTGCTTTTTTTGAACAATATAGAGAGATATTTGTGGGTGTTCTGGAGTTGATGTGCTTGCACACATTGTGCTTGAATTTAAGATGAACTACGATTTATAAAGAGGAATGTATTCAGGAACATATTTGAGTGTACAGATATTTTATAAATCATTAATTGGAACATTTCGGAAACTGTTTTACATTCACATTTCATTATATGCACTTTTTTTAAATTGAGGTCCAAAGTGTGTTTAAATTACATTAGTCAGAGCAAGAGTTCAATGTACATTATTTGCCAAAAGTTTGGGAACATTAAGATTTTTTTTTTTAAAGTAGCAAATCAGCATATTAGAATAATTTCATGTGACACTCAAGACTGGAGTAATGGGTAACACTTTATAATAACTGCACTCTATGAATCATTAGGTAAGCATTAGTAAATAGTCAGTTCATCCTTTATAAAGCCTTGTCCCAACATTAATTGTCATTAGTAAGCAGTTTATAAATACAGCTATAAATGCCTTGCTCTTGATTTACAAGCACATCTATTACAAAGGAGATTAAAGACTCAGTTATCTTCCTAACAAAAATAAAAAAATTAAAAAAATTAAAAAATAAACACAACACAGAGGGATACAGAACTCAGAAATATTTATTTCAAGATGCAATAAAATGAAACTGTACAACTGTGTTCTATATCCCTCTGTGTTGTGTTTAACTTTTCTGTTTGGAAGATAAATGATCCTTTAAATCTCCTTTGTAAATGGTATAAATAGTCCTCACTGTCACGATCCGTTCCCTGCTCTCCACCAGAGGTTGCCACACACGCCACTCAGACTTTCACCCTGGACTCCATTTCCCAAGATCCCCTCTGATTACACCCTCACCTGTTTCCAATAACCCGGACACTATAAAGGTTGCACTCACTCACATCCAGGTGCTCAGTATTGATTAGCCTAGCTGCCATACCAAGTGCTTCCTAGTATCCTGTTTCCTAGTGTTGTTCTGACCCCTAGTCTGTGGGGGATTATTCTCTTGCCTCTGGACACTGTTTGTTGGTGTATGACCTTTGCCTGTCTGACTACGCTCTTTGTTTGAATAAAAGTCTGCA